GGTGCGGGCATGGCTCCCCTGTCACTTGGGGAACGGCCTGGGGGCGGCCACCTGGCGTGGAGGGGCTGGCAGGAGCCCCGTCTGTGCCAGCCATGGCAGTGTTCTCTTCCGTGCTCCTCTGGGGCTGCTGCGGCACCAACTGGGAAGTTGCAGATCTGTTCTCTGACAAGCCAGCTGTTCCTGCTGGTTGCAAAAGGGACTGCTCTAGTCCTGACGGGGGGAACTCTTGTGTGGTCCGTGGCCCTGGCCAGGTGAGCTCTCGGGGGCCCCCTTACCGCCCTGGAGTTTGTTAACAGACTGCAGGTAACAGGACCCGGAAAGCAATGGTGAGACCCAGAACCTGCGGCGGGGCCTGGGTGTAAGGGGCCAGTGGGGAAGACGGGGACTCCGTTGGGTGCTGAAGAGTTTGGTGCTTCTCCTTTGGGAAACCCGGGTCTCTTCCTCGGCCCAGGTCTGAGGGATGCGGAAACGTGAGTCACAGTTCAGTGTGGGAGTGCCCCGTATCTGCCTCCGCGTTCCCAGAGTCTGGGGCTGGGTGAGGATATAGGGGTGATCTGCCTTCCGGTTCTAAGTGACTTCTCGACTGTGAAGTGGGACAAGAGAGATTGTTTTTCTGGTCTTTCCGGGGGAGGCAGATCCTGCAGGAACCAGCTTGGCCTGGCCTTGGGTTAGGTGTGCCTTACCTCCTCCGAGTCCTCCTGCTTGCGGGAGCAGCACCCCTCTTTTTCCTGCTTCTGTCTCTGCCTCTGAGGCTCTCCAGAGCTCATTGATTGGCAGACGAGCCAGTGACCTCTGAGGCCCCAGGGGAGCCCGAGGCTCAGTGACTGCGTAACTAGTTGCACAGGGCCTCCTGTCTGGGCCTCCACAGACCGTGGTCTCTGAGAGCAGGAAGCGGCTGGTTCCCTGTAATCCTGCATCTGTGTAAGAGCCTCAAGCTCTGCTGGCCCTCTCTCTGGGCACCCCTCACTTTATCCTTGCCCTGGCCTTGGGCAGCACTCTGGTAACCCCAATGCCACAGGTGAGGAACCAAAGCTGGAGACAGCTGTTGATGGCAAGGGAGGGGCCAAGGGAGGCTGAGTGCCTGGTCTCTACCTCCTGCTCTTTCCACCAGCTCATACAAGGCAATTGAAGGGAAGGATTCTGCTGCTCAGAAAATCCTCCAAAACCATGCGTGTTGTTCATGGGCCTGAACCGGTCAGTGAAGAACCTGAGAGGGGCCGGCCACCCACGTGGCCGTTGGTGGCCAAGCAGCCCCTGGTCCAGCCCTCTGGCCTGCAGTGTGATGCCTCTGCTCACTGCACTAGGTGTGGAAAGGTGCTGAGAAGGCAGACGACATCGTTAAACAAAACAGCTTGGGGTCTTTGAAAAACAGTGGCGGAAACCCAGGAAAACTGGTGACTTGTCCGGTCTGCATCTGTCCTGGGCGACCGCCCAGCCCTGGACTGTGAGGATGAAATGACAGCAGACGGGGGGCTGTGCTTGGGTGGTTTCCTCATCAGACACCCAGAAAAGAGACCCCCAGCCCAGGGGCTGCCTCGTGCACTCCGCCCTCCTGTTCTGCTCTGCCCCTCTGGTCCTGCCCTAGACCCCGGCCCAGCAGGAGTGCCCAGAAGCCCAGTCGGGCTTGTTCTCTGCCTAAAGCTCTTCCGCATCCCTGGTAACCTCTCAGTGTGGATGTGGGATTCCTCACCACCGGGCTGTGCCTCAACTGCGTGGAGCCACTGGACTCTCATGCCCCACGCTGGCGAGAATGCTCAAGTCTGTGCAGTTCTCATGTTGCCCTGCAGCTGGTCCCTGGCTCTCCTCCGTGGGATCTGCCTGCAGCTCTTACACTGTGACCGCCCTGTCTCCCTGCTGGATGTGGTACTGGGAGGGCAGGGCCCGTTTCTGTTTCTTGGCAGGCCCAGTGCCAAGCACCGTCCAGCCGTGTGTGGCGCAGGTGGTCAGTGAGCACCTGGGGTCGGCTCTCACCACAGGCAGCTCTGGATACCTGGGTTCTGGTGGCCAAGGGGGACTCCTGGGTGCTCCAGGAGAGCAGCACAGCAGCCCCTGTGGCGTGGACGCGGCCACACCTGAGCTCGGCTTGTTTCTGAGTCTGAGAGAACAGGCTTGCTGGCCTGTGACCCTTACATGTGTGTCTCGCTGCAGGGAGGCTGTGGGTTGAAGCTGGGCCTGGAGACCTGTTCAGCCACACCCTGTCACTATGTGGGTCACACACAGCTGGGTGGAGACCTCATGGTGCGTGGCCCGGGGAGGTGTCTGGGCATGGAGTCTGTGGACAGCTACATTGTACCACTAGGACAGGGGCTGCTGCTGGGCCCACAGGGTGCAAGGAATGGGGACTGTGAGAGGATAGGGGCATCCTAGCCCAGGGCAGGGACCCCAGGAGGGACCGTGTGAGCCCCCCAAGATGAGCTGCGTCAGGCTGTTGCTTTGCACACTTTGAGGGGCTTGCCCGAGTGCTGCATGGGAAGCCAGCATCGTGGCCGCCCTCCCCAGAACTCATCTAGGGCACCAGGGTGGACCCTTGAGTCCCATCGGATCATAGGCATCACCCTCACCGTCCTGGCCTCCAGATCCCACGATTTCTCAGATTCCCTGACATCAAAGGGAAGCTTCCAGGGTTGCCATCCCCGCCTCCCTGGAGGTCCGAGACGGGACGTCAGGACGCAGGGCCATCGCTGCTTGTTGAAATGTCACAGTGATTGCAGCGTCCTTTCCTCTGTGGAAGGAGCTCGCTCTGCCAACGAGGGGATTCCTCCTCATGCCCTTCCCCTCACTTTTCTTCAAAAAGTTGCCGTTTATTTTTTAAATGTTTTAAGTTTTATTTTTTTGAGCCAGGGTCTCACTCTGTTGCCCACGCTAGAGTGCGGCTTCTGTCATAGTCACTGTCTCCTGGGCTCCAGTGATCCTCCTGCCTCAGCCTCCCAGAGCACTGTAGGACTACAGGTGGGCGCCACCACACCCAGCCTCTGCCCTGTGTAAGTAAAGTCCCCCAGGCAGGTTGAACCTCTTACACCTTCTGCCCCCTGCCTGATCCCCACTCCCTACCCACCACCTCCTTGCCCCCTGTAATGAGAAAGGCAACACGTTTTGGAGCTTTCTAGAGTTCCTGCCCCTCCTGAAAAGGTGGCTGCAGAGAGGCCGGAGCTGGTGGGGAAAGAGGTGCCAAGAGGCCTGCTCTGGGGCCCAGGGCCACACGGCTCCCAAGGCCCCAGTCTCCCTCTCTGCGGTGACAGGTGCCCCCTGTGTCCCAGTGGCTTCTGCTTGGCCACCAGTGAGGCCGTCGGGCTGCCCAGACCAGGGCTGCTCCTGCCACCACTTGGCAAGCACAGAAATAGAGAAGTGCCAAAAACCACGAGTGCTTGTCTGGTCCTTTTTTTCCTGTTAAAAATAGAATTTGGGGCTGGATGTGGTGGCTCGCACCTGTAATCCCAGCCCTTTCAGAGGCCGAGGCAGCTGGGTCACCTGAGGTCAGGAGTTCGAGACCAGCCTGACCAACATGGCGAAACCCCATCTGTACTAAAAGTAGAAAAATTAGCTGGGTGTCGTGGTGTACGCCTGTAATCCCAG